GGGGGGGGGGGGGGGGGGGGGGGGGGGGGGGCGGAGGGGACGAGATGGTCCCGAGCGGTGGCGGCAATAACAACATGCTTTCCCCCTCGACGCAGAACTGTGGCAGCGTGCGGAGCGCGAGCCACCGGACGACGAGCGGGGAGGGCTGCGGCGGCGGCGGCGGGACCGGCGGCGGCGGGACCGTCGGAGGCGCGCACAAAAGCCTGCCGATGGCGGCGGCCAGCCGCCTGCGGATGAGCTTTTGCAGGGGGCCCTCCCCTTGCGACAGGTTCGACAACGAGAGCGACGACGACGACGACGATGACGACGACGATTTCGACGATTACGATGACTACGAGAGCCAGCGGTCGAACTTCGGGATGAACTCCCCGACGTCCTCCTACGCGTGGGGCTGAGAAACGCTCTGACGGCGGGCGGGCTGGGCGGCCTGTCTATCTGTCCCTTACCCTCTCCATCAACGCCGCACAACGAGAAGCGGAGTGGCTCTTGTTCATGACGCATGTCGTGTGTATGGCCTGCCTGACCTGAATAACACAAGGAGGCATTTTTGTTTTTGGGCAGTGGGGGGGGTTAGGGTGTCGGACAACAAATCTTTCTGGTTCAACCGGTGCATCTGCAGGCTCGTTGGTATGGTGGGGGTTGCACTGCTGTTGGAGCTCTTGCTGGTGACGTGCTGCCTTCGTCGTCTTTTTGTTGTTCAGCAGCCGGCGGTATGACGACGTCAAGGTTGTGATAGAAGTGACTACTGCCCTTGTTGCGGCTTTGCTCGCCCTTGTTTCATTTCTGTTTATATGTTGTGGATTTTCTGGCTAAGGGGGCGTCGAAAGTGTGACCTACTTGCCGAAGGCTCTCGATTCTCGCTGGATGACGGAACTTTTTTTTTTTTTTGTATGTGTTCTCTTCTTGTTCTTTTCTGTTTTACAGTTGTTCTCATGCCATTTCGTTCTAAAGGAACACGGATATTGTTGTGTGCCGTGGTTTCTCCTCCGCCGTAGAAGGGGTTATGCGCTTCTCTTGGTTTTCGCGACGGGGGCGGCTGCTTTCCGCCCTGCGGTGGGTGGGAACGGCAAGTCATTGTTCAGCAGCTGGCCGTCTTGCAGGTCGAGGCTGTTGTGTAGACTATGTCACAATTCCGTACTGTCAAAGAAAAAGCGAGAAAAAGTGGGTGATCGGATGTTCGTCTGCTCCTGTCAGAGGGGGAGGGTCTTACACGTACTTGTTTCGATTCGTCCACGGGATTGGTGAGATGTGTGTGGCGTACGCTCTTGATCTAGAGCCGCAGGGCTTCCATTGAATTCATTGAGAAAGGAAAAAACTGGTGAGGTGTGCGGATTGATAGTAGTGCCTGTTACGGTTGGTGTAGCCAGGTGGAGGTAGTGTACTGAAGTTGGTTGAGCGCAACAGCAGCGTGTGTTCAATTTTGCCTGCACTTTGTTTTTGTTTCTTTACTCCTGGGCATTATACTTGCGTTTTTCATTTTTGGTTTTAGTTTTTTTTTGCCCTTCCAGGCGCGCGCGAGCGCACGGAGAATGAGCGACAGAGAAAACTAGCACGGCACGCTACAAACACGCTTTGGTTGTCAGGGGAGGGAGACTTTACCGCCGAGTGATGCAGAGGTGTGTTATGGGCGGTTTCGTGAACGTTAGGCAACGGTGCGGGGCAAGGAGCCGGCGCAAGCAGAGTATTCGAGGGAAGGGGGCTCTCTGTCTGGCAACGTCGCGTTCGACAACAGAGAATCGAGGGGGGAGTAGAGAGCTTAACATGCGTGTCGCGAGTTTGTTAGTAGAGCACCAGCACCAGCACCAGCACCAGCACCAACGCGCTGCTTTTCATTTGCAAGGTCTGGATACATGCACGTCGTAGCGGTTCCCACCTGGACATAGCTGCGTCGCGATAGTGACGGCGGCTTCGGCTGTCGCAGGAAGTGAGATTCTGCCGTGAGATGAGAATGACCCAACCCAACCCAGGCGTGGAGTGAATTTCCACTGGTATTTTTAGTATCACCGCCGCCAGATTATTCGCTACTGTAGGGGGGGGGTGGTATTGGGGTGAACAACCTTCGTTGCTCGTTCCCTTTGGGGGGGTGGGGTGAACGCACGCCAGTTTTTAGTTTTAGTGGCCGTAAAGGGGACGGCCCGTTCTTGCTGTTGTTGCCCGATGTGGAGAGAAACATTCTACGAGGGAAGGGGAGGGGCGCCGCTTCAATGCGTACATGGTTGCATTTATCCGGATGCGTAGCATGGATTCACAGTGAAGTGTCGAAGTGTCGAGAATGAATGCAGCTGCCGGCCTTGGGGTCGCGAGTGCGTACTTGGGGTACAGCGCACGGCGGTACTAACACACTCAAGAAAAATGAAATTCCACGGAGCCGTGATTTTCTTTTTTTTCGGTGTTGGCGCTTTTGTCTTTGTTTGGAAGCCTTAGAAACAGTTCTCTGTCCGTGTGTGTGGGTCATGTCTCTGTGCTTCCTTTCGTCTTTTTCAACTTACGTTCTTTTTCGTCGTGTTTTCGCTGTACCGTCGCCGTTTTCGTTTTGTACCCTCTTTCGTCGTTTTCTCTTGTTGGACGATGGAACGGAGACGACGCGGCGGGGGACGGTCTCGTTCTGTGTCTCTGGCTGCTTCATCGTAGTCACCTTGTATCTTGTTTTGTAGATGGAAGATTTAAGATTGTTTGTTCCATCTCTTCGTCTTGTGTGTGTGGTTGTTTCGCTCAGCGCATCGTCGGTACATGACGCCGCTGGGTGTCTTTCTTGTTGTAGTAGTTGCTGTTGTTGCTTTGTTGTTAATGCTGCTGATACGTGTGTCCCGCACCCGGGGGCAAACCTACTATGTAATATCATTTGCTTTTTTCAGCAGATCGAAGCCGTCGTCGTCAGCAGCAGATGCATGTGCACCCGCACAGGACGTCGAAGTACACGCTTTTCCCGCCGCGGCTACTGCTGCTCCCAACGTGATGACGGGGATCGCGAGGCTGTCATGCGGTGACACTCCCCGCTGTTTGTGTTCAGTGTTGGTTGTTTCGGCGCTCTTATCGGCCGGTCGCTCTCGTGATGAACGCAGGGAGCGGGCGAAACGGGAAGATGTCTGTTATGTAATTTGCTTCGTATCCGTGTATACAGTCAATGCTTGATGATGGAAGAGAGATACATCCGTGAACCGCATCGTGTGTTTTCTTCGTACCTGCTATTTGCTGCTGCATTTCTCGTGCGTGGAAGTGTGCAGCTGCTCACATCGAGCGGCCGTGACAGCAGCTGCGTGTGTGTTTGTTAAATGCGCTAGCTGTACCGTATGACCATGAGCAATGCAATTTCATGTGGCAAGAGACGCAAGCGTGGCCCCGTGAAACAACGCGCGGCACCCAGGACGTGAAAGTGAAGTTGTGCATGCAGCCGGTAGTGTGGACGTCCCCCGAAGAACCTGGTGTGTCAAAAAGGGTTGGGTCTTGAGTGACGCAGTTGTACGCCAAATATCGCACGGTCTAATGAGCACCAAGAGCTGCTGCGTTCCCAATTGTGCGTGTGACTCGTGCGTTCATAGCATCCAGATGTGTTCCACAGCGGTTTACGCTCCATCATCCCAGCAGAAGACACCTTTTTGTTTTTTGCCTCCAATTTTCCGGAAAATGGTCGGAGGACAGGGGACATTGATTGTCGCTTGCGGGTCGAAACCAAAACAGAAGGGTTTCGGGACAAAGAACGGCCTATGCATACTAAAGTACATGTTGTATTAAAGTGACTGGAGCTGTCAAGATGTGACCTCGTTTTCGAGTGTTGCGTTGCCTACATGACAGCGAGGGCTGAAATCGAAACGCGTAGGGCATGTACGTGAAGACCATGGCTCCCGAGGCCTGAACCTGCAGTGTCGCCATACACAGTTGAAGGTCGTAAGTGCTTTCACCCACCCCAAACCGTTCTGGCGGGGCCGTAACCAGCAAAGAGGCGCAATTCGTCGATGGCTACACCGCTCTTTTTACTGGATGAGTCGCTCACCACGCACCCCCATCTGCGCACCGGTTCATGAATCGCGTCAAATTGTTTGTGAGTGGAAGTACTCACTGAAGTAGATAGTCTAGACTACATCCCTCGCTTTCATGTGTTGTGGAGGGCAATTCACTCACATGGAGGACTTCGTCACCAATGTTTTTCGTACAACACGAACAGACAATAGGTGCATGCCGTCCAGGAAACGAAGGTCTGAGCGAGGTGCACGTGCACACAAATCGTCGGCCAAGAGCGAGCGACGGACTATGTGTCCGGCATGAGTAGACACCGCATCCTTGCACAGTTGCCAGTGAAATGAATGCACAGATGGAACAAAACAGAAATCATTATTTCATTCCCAACAGACAGCACTAATAGAGGCAATTCGGGAGAAGTTGTTCTCGCAGGGCTCACCGGCACCTGCATTTGGACAAGAGTGCGTTGGCAGGCATTCCACTGGCTCGCGAAAACAACAAAGTATTGTCTCACGTCTGGGGGATATCGAGAAGAATTGAACGCGGCTGAATTTCACATATTGTATTTTTTGTGAACGCGAAAAGAAAAAGCGAGCATCATCACTCACCACCCGCCCGCGATGCTTCCAGACTGCGTCAACCAATCACGCGGCCTCCACCCATCGCCCCCTCCTTCACCCCTCCATCAATGTCTGGCACCAACTCCCACAGAACACTAAAGTATTGCAGCAGTACAAGTACAAATGGACCTGGCATCACATGGAGGTTCAATCACGACACAACAATACAGGCAAGGGTCCAACGCAATTGCCATGATGGTGAAATGCAGGCACTCTACTTTGTAGGTAGTCGAGTTTCCAAACGATCGTCCTACGCAAGCACATGTGCAGTGTGTAGTGATGTGTCAAAAAAGCAGCGACGCATATGCTTTCACGCGCAATACGCCACCCTCGCAACGCGCGCGCTCGCGTGGAAATTCATAGCGGCTGCAACACGCTGGCCGTTTCCCCTAATAGGCCGTAGCAACTAAGACTGTAACTCCGTAGCAGACCGCCCAATCACCCCTCCAAGCAAGAAACACGAATTCTCAAGACCTGTGGTCTATCATCAGCTTTCAAGCTGTTTCACTTGGTCTACACAGCAGGAGTCTTCGAAAGAACTCAAACAGTAAAGAGTTATCGCTCAAGGCTAACAACCCGGAACCAGACGCGAATGGAAGCGCTGCTCTTCCAGGGAGAATAACTCAGCAAGCTATAAATCCGAAGCGGTAATAGCAGCACTATTCATGCCAGCTTTTTGTTCCTTCTTGCCATGCCATGTTGTGCTATGTCATCGCCTGCCATCCATCTTACGACCGACCCTACATCGGGTAGAACACAAGAGGACGGGGGGCACTGCCCACCACGCACGACAAAAAGCTTGCACATCCATCAACTCCGGCAAGCCGCCGCCTAGTCACCCCTCGGGCAGGCACACCAAGTGCCATGTACCTTGCCCGCCCTCCGCCGCCAGACTTGGTACGATCAGTGTGTCAGTGGCCCCTTCAGGAATCTAGTGCTAGATTACTACCGCACAGCCCGTCTCGTCAAACGAAATCACCGCTTCCTCAGTGGCGACGTCATTCTGCACAGCGATATTGCTGCAATAGATGCTGCTGCATCCGGCTGGCTGCTACGCGCCCGTCCGACTGAATACATCGCGTGTTCATCACCGATTTTTCCGCCCTGCCTCTCGTCACGCTTTGCAAGGTCGGCCGCCACGTCCCGGTAGATTGTCGCCGACATGACACGAATGATTGTGTCAATTCACCGATCGCTGCGCCTATCCCCCTGCTTCTGTGTCTGCCGGACTACTGCGGCTTCCGCTTTAGGGTAAACACATGATATCTCCAAGATAGCACCACTCAGAAAGCAAGGGAGGCAGCACCGCGAGTGGTTTTGGTCGATAACCCTGTTGTATTTGAGACTAGCGACCGCCATGTAGACTCACCGCACCACACGCACCACTCCAGCACATTCACTCTGATAGGAACGGCGTAAAACCACGCACACAACACAACATATCCACGACAATAAGAATCCATTTTACAACTCGCCTTTCATCTTCAACGTCACTCCCCCCCCAATCAACCAGAATATGAGATCATCCAACTTTCTGGTAAGCGTGTAGTTCGACCTTGCCATGATACCCACCCATCCAACCACCCATCCAGAACACCCCTGTACATTCATTCGCCTCGCCTAGGTTCGTAATCGTTTCAAGTTGTTGTTTTGGCCCTGCCGTTGCTGCATCGGTATCGCCATCGCCAGACCACCACCCGCAACGCCAACATCAGCACCGCCCCCACTAGCCGCTGCCCCTGCCCCCGCCGCGAGGGTGTCGTCTGCGCTGCCCCCGGATAGGGAGGACGTGTTGTGTTGCTGGATCAAGGAGTCGATCTCCATGAACGCCGAACCGAAGTCCTTTTGTGAGGCGTGACGGCGTCAAGATATCAGGGGGCGTGGCGGAGGAGACGGTAATTGGGGGGGG